AAAATTTTTCTTTCATACAACTAAAATAATTTCTTGCTTTTATAAAATCTAAATTTATTAATTATGTAAAAATTGATCAATACTTTTTCTATATATATTTTAAAATTACCAATTTATTAAAAATCTTTCGAAAAAAAAGATTTATCTAACTTTGTCAAATATAAAAAATTACAAAATTAATGGGTGGACCTCAACTTCAAAATTCTAATTAAGATTTAGACAAGCTAAATCAAGCTTTAAAGAAATTTTCTTCCCCCAATCAATATCAATTTCAAGCTGAAATAATAATGATAAATCATGTAAAAATCTTACACTGTAAAATCTTAAAATTTCAATATCTTTAAATTTTGATTAAAACAAATAGATAACGAATTTTTATTCAAAGATCATACATTAAAAATAATCTGCCTCTAACGGACCCAGCGGCATTCGAACTGTTGAGTAAATTATCTACATCATCCATAACATTTATTGTTTCAACAGTTCAACATCAATAAAGATGAAATTTATGAAATAAAACGAGAACTTTTCCTATTCATTTTATTAACGATGAATTAATCTAAACAACATTAAAGAAAGATATCAGATCAGTGAACCAGTAGACATACAGCATCTCCAGCAGGACAAGGTAAAAAAGGTCACTCATCACGTCACCATCACCAAAAGTTATGGCTGACATTTAAGATTCCTCTCATATTTGTAACTCAACCATGGCCTATCTACAATTTATGTAACCTAACCAAGGTTCATCGATTATTATAAATAGATCCTTAGGATAGAACAGAGAGATGCAGGATTTTCCTCCTCTCTCTTTCATTGCTCTCTCCATCCCTCTTTCTTAGGCAAACGATAAAAAAAAAAAAAAAAAACCAAGTCAAAGTACATTTTTTATCTATCACTAGTCATTCATCGTATTTATTTATTTTCACCAAGTGTATCAGATCACATTTATTTCTTTTGCATCACATTTAATACTAAATAAAAATATTTATTTCCATCCATCATATATATTTCTCTTCATCAACCATTTTCAAATTTTTATTCTTTCATCACATCACATTTATTATTACTCTTCCATCCATCACATTTTTTTTTTTCCATTACATTTAATATTAAATAAAAATATTTGTTCCTCTTCTTCTGTCACATTTATTATTATGTTTCTTACGCAAGAAAACATATTTTTTGTGCTAAAAAGCTCTTACATAAAAAATATAATCTGAATAATCTTTAAATTTAAATTTTTTATTTATTATCAATCATATTTTAAAATAAAAAATGTAATTTTTAATAAATTATTAATCATATTTTTAAATTAATAAAAATTATTTTTATTAACAAAGATTATATTTTTAAATATCATAAATATATTTTTAAATTTCATCAATTATTACATTTTTTTAAAACGTAAAAAAAAAAAGGTGCCACTAGGCATCTCTAATGCACTTCATTCTCTACAACTTCAATATTATGGATGATAAAGGATAATGGTAGTACTCAATTGATATAAAGGGTTGGAGCACGTAAAGTTTGGGCAGGAAAAGTGAAGTTACTTTTTTTTTTTCAATTCAAAGGATTCGAAAAAAATACAAAAATGAGAGGAAAATTAGAAAAAAAAAAGACATCTTATCTTATTACAAATTAAAAAAAAATATAAGATTAAAGAAAAAAAAGGAATGTACTTCAAAACCAACTCTATTTACTTCCATTTCAATCAAAGAAATAAAACATAAAATAAAGAAAATGACATAACATTTGATAAGTAATGAAAGAAAGAACAAATAAAATATAAAAAATTGACGGGTACATAAATTTAATTATCTTTTATGAAATTAATGAGATTTAGTACCTGATAATTTAATTATGTTTTTAATTTAAGTCTATAATTTATAATATTAAATTTATTTATGCTTTATAATTTAATTATGTTTTTATAATATTAAATTTATAATGCTTTTATAATATTAAATTTATAATATTAATTAAATTATGTTTTTAATTTAGGTCTATTTTAACAATTTAATTATGCTTCTATAGATTTAATTATGTTTTTATAATTAAATGTAATTATGCTTTTATAATTTCGTCAAAAAAATTAATATCAAAATCACATCAAAATTAATAAATTTATTGTCAAATAGACCTCTAGTAAACAATTTGTTCTACCAGCTAACTAAAAAATGAAAAATTTCAACTTTTTTAGAGCTCAAAATTGAGAAATTGACATATGATGATGAAGAAAAAAAAGCATTTTAATTATTTAATTTAATGGCTGGAGCCTGGAGCTCATTTTTTTTGTTTTTTGTTTTAGCTTTGTGTGGAATTAAAAAAATCAAAGTAAAATATAAAAATTAATATATTATAATATGTGATTGACATATGACGGCATGCCTCAAATGGTCCTAAGTAAAAAGATTGGGCTTCACATTTCTTAATTAAACAAAACATCTATCAAATTTGCGTTTAGATTTTATCATAATTTTAGTATGATATGATTAAATTTATTATATTTTCAATTAAATTTAAATATTAATTTTAATAAAATTAAATCAATATAAATTTTTTATTAATTTTTTTCAATTATAGTTACAGTAATGTTTTTAATCACAACTACAATAAATTTTATTACTATTTTTATTCTTAGTATAACTAACTCCTATCTTATTCAAATAGAACCTAAATCAACATCAACATACTAAATGTGGGTTTAAAGACTATATTTTAAAAATAAAAAAAAATATGATTTTTGTTTATTATTTATCATGCTTTGATAATGTAATTTTTTTAATTTAATTTTTTGTTCATTATTAATCACGTTTTGAAACTAAAAAAAATTGATATTTGATAGATTATTAACTACATTTTTAAACTAATAGACATGATCTTTATTAGTAAAAACTAAAATTTTAAGTATCATAAATATTTTTTTAATATTATATCAATTATTATAAAACATCATTAATTTAAAAATATTTATTTTATCTTGTTATTATTTTAATTGATTTACTATATTTTAAATATAAAAAATGTAATGCTTTCTAAAATTAAAAAAATTCAAAATACTTACTTTACTAAAATACTTAACTGTTAGATCTTTGATATACTAAAATCCTTACGTTTTCTTCGTTTAATTATATTTTTGAATTTTTAATATAAGTAAAACTAACAGCTAAGTATTTGATGTTTTCCTTTCAAAAATATAACCACAATTTTAGTATTTTAGTAAATATAGAACTAACCGTTGGTTCTTTGGTTATATAAGTTTTGCACATAGTTAAAATACTTATTTTACTAGAATACTTAAACTTTATTATTTTAAAAAAGAAAAATTAAATATGTAAAGATAAAATTTAATAAAACAAAAAAAATAGGTGAAGTTTAATATTAAATTATAATATAATAATAAATAGACCAAAAAAATAATACATGGATAAAATTTTAAGAAATTAAGATTGTTTTGTCGCTTAATCTTTTTTTTTTTTATTTTGATATTTAATTCTCATATTTTTGTTTGTTTTGAATCCCAAATTATCTCAAAACTCATGAAAGTGTCACGGACCTAAGAAAGAGTCTTGAATCCCATATCGAACATAATAGGAAGATCACTGGGGTATAAAAACGTTCACATCACCTCTGCCTTGTGAGGCACTTTTTGTAGAACAAAACCGTGAGGTCAGGGGAGGCCAGAGCGGACAATGCCTCACAAGGGTGTGAACCGTGGCGGAAGGCTGATCTGGGACGCCAGAAGGGTGAATGCCCAGGTCCCGGAGCCGCGTGGATTCAGAGTTTAAGTCTCGACCCATGACAAGTGGTATCAGAGTCAGCCCTAAACCGTTCGATCCACGCCAAACACCTCGAGGGAGGTAGGCATGATAGCTAACCTCCGTGACGAGGCCGTCACGAAGTTGGGTGCAGGAGAATGTCACGGACCTAAAGAAGAGTCTTGAATCTCACATCAAACATAATAGGAAGGTCACTGAGGTATAAAATGGTTCACATCACCTTCGCCTTGTGAGGCACTTTTTGTAGGATAAAACTGTGAGATCAGAGGGGGCTAGAGCGGACAATACCTCACAAGGGTGTGAATCGTGGCGGAAGGCTGATCTGAGACGTCGGAAGGGTGAATACTCGGATCTCGAAATTATGTAAGTTCGAAGTTTAAGTATCGACCCGTGACAAAAGCACTATCACATTTAAAGTAAGACTTGACAAATATAAATTTTGACTTTTTACTATGTTTATCTCATAAATATAAAGATTATGATTTGCCATAAAAAAATGTAATTGAAAAGTTAACAAAAAAACATAGTAAATCAAAGAAACTTTGTTAGTAGTTTATCTCATAAACTTTTTACCTACCGGTCTTTTATTCTCTCTTTGTTTATATCAAAGAACAGCTATTTCTTTTTTTTTTCTCATATATTTTTTGAAACAAAAAAAAATGAATCATCAAACAGTCACGTGACACTTCTAATGAAGAGTCTTATGCTCAGTATATTTGTAAAATTTATCTTATAAATTGATAAATAAAAATAACTTTGCCACTTAGAAGGGTGTCAGAATAAAAATTTACATATAATCAGTACGGGTATTTTGAATTTGAAGCACAATTAGAATGCAATCTGTTACTCATGTAATTGTCATATTTGCTTCAGTTCATACCATGAAAATGTCAATTTGTTATCCTTTACAAAATTATATATTTTGAACCTACAGATCTCTTAATTTGGATGTCTTAGTTGCATTAACATTTTAAGATTCTGACAAAGAAAACATTAATGAGGGAAGAAAAAATTAGATAAAATCAGATATATACGAGAAACCCTCGGTCTTTTTCTCTGAAGTTTCCATCCATTGATTAATAAGACAACTAGCACCAGCTGGCTCACAAGTTGTTATAAACTCGTTAACTTCAACTAGTCTCTGTCCATCCTCGAAGCTTCATCCTATAGCTAGACTATATAAAAGAAGAGGCCCTGCTAAAACTAGGGGCATCAGAAATGCATTTCAATTCTTGCCTGCTTGCTTTACTTCTGTTAAATGTCCTTCTATTTTCACAATGTAATCTCACAGTCCAGGCTGGGGAATCTATTTCTGGCTCACCCTCGGATACAATTCCTCCACGTGATGTTTGGAATAAGTTGAAAGTTGTGTCCAAGAGGATTCAGGCATCATCTCCACCATCACCTAGGATTAATGCTCCTTATCACTTAAAGAGTCCTCCTCCATCTCCTCGACGTCCTCCACCACCATCCCCACCAAGAGCACCACCACGAGCACCACCACCGCCTTCATCCCCGTGCCAACCACCCATATGATTTTAGCGTGCTACCTTCTATATCAAGAATATTTTATCGGATACTTGGCCCTAAGGTTACAGTCGATAAAGCTTTAACATCTGAAGCTTCTATTTTAACTTTAAAGTCAGCAAGTTCGTGAAGATCTTAAGGCAATTCCCCTTCTTCTGTAAGAATTATTATTATTAGAACATTGTTCCAATAATTGGTTATATTTATTTTTTAACTTTGATAGTTGCTCTCCAATTCCTTTTCCTCCAATCTCACAAGAAGCTATATCTACAAAGCTAGAACATTGCTCTTGCAACAACCAAGATCCTGCTCCTAGCAAAGCTACAAATCTGGGACTGTATGTGCCTTCAATTTTTTTGGATAAATGAATGTGCTTTTATTCATCCAAAAACCAATACAAAGAATTTAGTTTATACATGCATAACTTTTAAAAATCAGGGAAGATGAGACAAGACAATTAAACATCAACTCTTCAAGATTCCAATTACTACAAAGAGATCGATTAACAGAACTGTAGCCTATAGCGAATAGCAATCCTGACGAATTGCATGATAGTTACAAATTTTAAATGAAGAGAACTAATTATAAATGAATCTCCATGCATTTACACCTGACCTCCAGATTGTTTCACATAATCTATCATTAAAAGATTTTCCCGCTTTTATAAAGCATCACTTCATTGAATGTATAAAATGGTCAAAACATTTTTTCTACGTTCATTTTACTATATATAGTTTTTTGGATACCTTTCAAAGAGAAAGATTTTACCAACCCTATCAGATATGAGAATTTGATACCGTAATGCCAAATCATCCCTCTAGAAGGTAAAGTTTAAGGAGGCTTGGCCTAGATATATGCTCAATTACATTGATCTGTACTGGCCTGAAAATTTAGATGGCATGATTTATAAGAACCAAATACTCTTGTGCAGATAGAAACAGGAAATTTGTTTTAGCACATGGGAAAAGATGCGAGGCTACCAACGCGTTTATAATTTGGAAAAGAAGGAAACTTTGTGCAAGAAGTTATGTTATTCTTGCTCAATTTGCTTTGAATTGATATTGATTGAAATATCTGTTACAGATATATGAGGCAGCTATTAGAGGTCTTGTCCCAGTTGATTGTCCAGCGCCAGTAAAATTTCCATTACCAAATCCGAAAGATCCTTTCTCCTTGAAGCCAGGATCCATTTCTGCATCCATTCTGGAGTCCGAAGCATCTGCTATTGAGAAATCATCTAGTCTCATTGCAGCAATAGCTGATACAAGAGCAGCAGCTACACAGTTCTCAAAGGACCAAGATTTTCCTACAAATACCATCCAGAATAGTAAACCTGATTCAACATTAAGTAAAATGCAGACGATATTATCAAAGACAATAGAATAACTGATAGTAATTTAAAGGAAGGATCTATAGAGGCAAATTCAGCCTTAGAGCAAAGCAACTATTTTGAGGAAGAGGGAAGCAGTAGTCACAGTCGACCTCCTGCACATCCAAAACAGCATCCTGGTGCCTCTTCTAAGGTAAGCAGTTATTTTACTTTGATATAAGTTTCCGGCCTGCTATTTCATTGCATGAATAAAGTCCATGATATGGCTGTTCCATCCCACATATCAACTAGATGATTGAACATTGAATGGGGATGAGGGGGAGGACATATAGAATGATAATTGCCATTCTTAATATCATGTCATTTTCTTATTAACCCCTGTATTCAAACAAATGGAACAATTTTAACTTCAGATTGCACTATCTAATTTCCAGACTGTTTTAGTTTTTTCCCCCAGTGTCCTTGTCTGTTTGCTCCATCTTTGCATATTTAGATTTTTGCTGTGGCAATGAGGGGGCTGAAGCCATCATGAATATTTAACTAATTCTTAGGACAAGGAGCTTGTATATTTAACTAGACGCGTGTGGCATAAGGTTTTCTATGCTGAAATCTAAGTATAGCTCTTCAAACAGGCATATCGGAAGTGTTTTTCTCTCATTATTCTTTTCCATTTGTATGCATAATTCAATTCTCTCTGGATGTCTGGTTCTTAGGGCTTGATAGTTGTCATTGTTGTACTATAATAATATTCGCTGAATTTTCATGGATTGTTGTAGTTTATAGAACTCTAATAAGGTGCAAAAACAATAAACCTGACAATTTAAATACAACAAAATAATATGACACAATACAATTAAAAAATATGAAAGTATCATGATTTAAAATTTTAATAATAATTTAATAAATTTTAAAAAATATTTTATATTTTTATATAAATTATAATATATAATTTTCATGTAAAATATAACATGATTATATAAATTTTAATATTTTATACGATATAAAAATTCAAATAATTTATAGTATGTCAAAGTATAGTGGTGATTACGTAGCCATTTAATAATTAAAAGTGGAGATGGCCATCCAAGACCATGTTAAAGTATTTTTAATGCCTTTGTTAGGAATAATGAGTTAAATCTTATAAGAGATTTGTCTGGGATTTATTAGATATTACTTGATGGATAAGAAGACTTGCAAAAGAAGAATTCTAAGAAAAAAGAGATTCTTAATAGACAAGTTTAACTTGCAAAAGAAAAATTTTAAGAGGAAAAAGATTCTTAATAGACAAGTTTATATGGTTACAAATAGGTGAAGTTTCTACATGTTTAGATTTGAGAAAAATATGTAAGAGAGTTGTAGGGTTTTATGGGTAGACATCTCACAAGACTATTGAAGATTTATGTGTTATAGGTGTATATGTTTGTTTGTAAGTGGACTAGAGAAGACTGAGAAAATTCACGTAGGTATGATGTATGGGTGCATATGAGTATATGTTTGGTTGTGTTAAAAGGGTGTACATAGGTGTGTTTGTTTGGATTGAGAATAATCCATAAGACTAGAGGAGATTAAGAGGGTCTATAGGTATTGATTGTTTGAGTGGTTGATACGTTTTGATGTATGTCTGTAATTCTATATAATTAATTAATCTTGTTTCTCATCCGTGGACATAAGTTAGTTGGATCGAATCACATGAAATTGTTATCTTTTACGTTTTTAATTGATTATTTAATTATGCTTTCGCTGATGTGAATTAGATTGGAGCTGTTTACTCAACAAATGGTATCGAAGCATGGTTCGAAACATAGGAAAATCAACTTTAGAGGAGCTCAATTCAAGAAAAAAATTTGAGTTAGTGTTTTGAATATCAGTTTGTATGAAGTGTAAAGGTACACAAGAGAAGATGATTGTGAGACTTCTATTGCAGGTAAAGCCAAACATATCTAGCATGAAGACAAATGATTGGTGAAATTAGAGTCAATGTGGAGATTGTTAAGAATAATAACTTAAATCCCATAAGAGATTTATTTAAGATTTGTTAGATATTATTTGATGGACAAGAAGATTTATAGAAAAAGAATTCTAAAAGGAAAAAGATTTTTAATATGCAAGTTTGACTTGCAGAAGAAAAATTATAAAAGGAAAAAGATTCTTAATAGATAAGTTTGTATGGTTAAAAATAGGTAAAGCCTTTACAGGGTTAGATATTAGAAAAAGATGTAAAAGAGTTGTAAGATTTTATGGGATAAACATCTCATAAGGCTATTGAAGATTTACGTCTTATGGGGGTGTATGTTTGTATGGTGTATGGGAGTAGACTAGAGGAGACTGAAATGGTTCACATAGGTATGATGTATGGACACATATGGGTATATGTTTGGTTGTGTTGAAAAGCATATAGGTATATGTTTGTTTGGATGGAGAATACTCCATAGGACTAAAGGACACTGAGAGGGTCTATGAGTTTTAATTATTAAATGAGATTGATTTAATATATGTTTGTAATTCTTTACAACTAGTAGATCTTGTTTTTCATTCGTGGATGTAAATTGGATTGAACCACGTTAAATTGTTATCTCTTATGTGATAAATTAATTATTTGATTTCACTTTTGTTGGTGTAATTGGATTAGAGCTTTTTAGCCTAACAAGTGATATCAAAGCTGTAGTGATTCCTAAAGTGGTATCAGAGCTGTGGTAATCTTTAACAAGTGGTATCAGGCTAAAGGTTCAATATGTGAAAAAAGTTAAAGGTTTGAGCTATGAGAAAAGACAAGCCTAAAAGAGCTCCATTTAAGAAAAAAGTTCGAGTTTAAGTTTTGAAGATTGAAGATCGATTTACGTGAAGCGTAAAGACATGCAAAAAAAGATAATTGAGAGACTTTTATTGCAGGTGGAGCCAAGTATGACTAGCATAAAGATAGGTAATTGATGAAATTTGAGTCAAGATTAAGATTGTTAGGAATAATGATCAAATCTCGTAAAAAATTTATTTGAGATTTATTAGATATTGCTTGATGGACAGAACACTTGCAAAAAAAAAAAAAATTCTAAGAAAAATAGATTCTTAATAGGCAAGTTTGACTTACAAAAAAAATTTTTAAGAGAAAAAAATTTTTAATAGGCAAGTTTGTATGGTTATAAATAGTAAAATATTTACAAAGTTAATTATGAGAAAAAGATGTAAGAGAGTTATAGGATTTTATAGGTAGACATCTTATAAGACTATTGAAAATTTACGTCTCATAGGTATGTATGTTTATTTGTGAGTGGACTATAGGAGATTGAGATGATCCACATAGGTATGATGTATAGGTGCATATGAGTATATGTTTAGTTATGTCTAAAGGGTGCACATGGGTATGTATTTATTTAGATTGAGAATAATCCATAAGACTAGAAGAGATTGAGATGATCTATGGGTATTGATTGTTGAGTGGTTAATACATTTTTATGTATGTTTGTAAGTTTTTATAACTAGTGGATCTTGTTTCTCATCCGAAATGTAGGTCAATTGGATCGAATCATGTTAAATTATTATCTCTTGTGTGTTTAATTAATATTTGATTATGCTTCTACTGACGTGAATTAAATTGAGACTTTTTGCCTAACAAGTGATATCAAAATATAGTTTGAGACATAGGAAGAGGTAAGCTTAGAGGAGCTCGATTCAAGGTAGAAGTTCAAGTTCACATTTTGAAGATCGATTTGCATGAAGCGTAAAGACACACAAGAAAATATGATTGTGAGACTTTCATTGCAGGTGAAGTAAGCATATTTAGAATGAAGATAGATGATTGATGAAATTTGAGTAAATGTGAAGATTGTTAGGAATAATGATTCAAATTTAATACGAGATTTGTTTAGGATTTGTTAGATATTACTTGATGGATAAAAAGACTTACAGAAAAATTTTTTTAAAAAGAAATAGATTCTTAATAGGCAAGTTTGACTTGTAGAAAAAAATTTTAAAAGAAAAAAGATTCATAATAGGTAAGTTTGTATGGTTATAAATATGTGAAGTCTCTACAGGGTTAGAGATGAGAAAAAAATATAAGAGTTATAATGTTTTATGGGATAGACACCTTATAAAACTACTGAAAATTTATGTCTTATGAGTGTATCTGTTTGTATGGTGCATGGGAATAGACTAAAGAGATTGAAAGGGTCCACATAGGTATGATATATGAGTGCATATGGGTATGTGTTTGGTTGTGTTGAAAGGCACATGAGTATGTGTTTATTTGGATTGAGAATACTCAATAATACTAGAGAAGACTGAAAAGGTCTATGGATATTGATTCTTGAGTGAGATTGATTTGATATATATTTGTAATTTTCTACAACTAATGGATCTTATTTTTCATCTATGAATGTAGGTCGGTTGGATCAAATTACATTAAATTATTATTTTTTGTGTGATAGATTGATTATTTGATTTTATTTTCATTGATGTAATTGGATTGGAGCTTTTTAACCTAACAACTTTCTCCCATCGATAATGTGAACTGCAAAACCATAATAGCAAGTTATTATTGTAATCTTTTATTGGTAAGGTCTAATAAACCTCGTAAGCATATAAAGAGCTTTTATCTTCGGGTCGATGCTACAAGAAGCATTAACAATGCCACTCATTTTATACTACTTCAATCTTTCTAATCCACGACCTGTTACTATCAGGTTGCTGGTTTCATGTGGAAGTCATTGAAGCTGTTCCTGGGCCTTTGAAGTTTGAACTGTTTGGACTTGGAACCGCCACCTTCCCTTACCATCAATGGTGTCGGTCAGCTTTTTTTGATTTCCCCACCAACAACGCCCCCATCAACATGATCAAGATACATAGCCTTCGTCCCGTCTACTTTTTGCGTGTAGAAAATAAGGCTTACGTGTATGCAATCATTAAAATATGAAATAAGGTATGCAATCATCAAAATATATGAACTTGAAAGAAAAAATCATTAACAATAGTGTGGTATGTTGTTATATTGATAGTATGATAGATTTTTAATTTTAATGATTAAAATTTAATATGTGATTTTGTTTATTAGGTACGGTTAAAATTTACATATAATTAAGAGAATGCTTTTACGTTAGTATCAACTATATGATGAAAGCATATTTTTTAAAATTTGGTATTAATTAATATATTATAATTATGCAAACATATAAATCATAAAACCAAGCAATTTTTAGCTTT